AATCACAAAGAGTTAAGATATATTATGTCCAACCCGTGAATAAGGAAATTAGTTACTCCTATATATTCTGAGCACTAGAAAAAAATAAGGATGAATGTGTCTTCTCTAGAATGAGTATCTAATGTCTTTCCATTTATATCAAGTCCTCTCTTTTCAAAAGTATTAATTTTAACTTTGTAAGGTTTCTCAAAGCGCATAGTTTGTTGGAAGAATTATCTCATTGAGTAAGTTAAACATTACTCTTTGGACAAACTGGATTGGCTCGTTAGGTTGAGTTCGAACTGAACTGGATCTGAATTTTATATACTTAATTTTGTATTTGAAATCATTAACTCTCTAACTTATTTATCCAATTATATTAATAATTTTCTTAAATCTATGAAATTTTCAGGAATATAAAACAAATACTTATCTTTTTAAAATTATTAAATAGAAATTCTAATTATTTTAAAAGATAAATTAAAATTACTAATAAAAAATAAAAATAAATAAAATAAAAATAATGATGATCAGAACTATCACCCCGAATCCGGAATTGTTGGTGAGCTAACGCAGAAATCCGAGAGGTCATCAGAGAAATAGGTTCCACATTCTAAGGTGACATCCTACCTTATGATTGAACCCTAAATGAGGCAGCCTGCAATAAAGGATTCTCAACATTTTTAAAGGAAAAGTTTGTGTTCACAATAAACTTTGCTGGTGCTAAAATTGATTAATAATAGCTTATTTATGTGTTGGAGAAAAATATATTATTTATACGCTATTATCTTTATCAAGTTTTCTTTGTTTATCCTTATTACTAATATGTCCTAAAAATATTTATAAATTTAGAAAAATAAAAATAACAAAGTATTGAGATGAATATATTAAGAATTTAACAAGAGATATATATTTTACAATAATTTTAATTTATGTAATTTTTTGTCTGAATAATCTTTTGTCAATGTAATTAATTTCGTATATCATGGATATCTAGAAACTTGTAATAAAAATATTAACGATAAAAAATGTTTTGTTATAATATTTATAAGTATGGATTTATCTTGAAACGCAAGAAACCTAATTGTTTTCTTTTGTCATACATCTCCGGGAAAGGAACAGTCTCATGGGGTTCAAAACATTTTTCTTCCTATTGCTTGAATTTGATCAATGTCTAAATATGTTGGATAAGGATGAGTTTCTAACACTCTTTTCTTTCCTTGTTTGTAGTCATTTCTATTGATGATTAAATTTGCAGCTGAGACTTTCTTCCAGAGACCTTGTCTCCATCCATATCCGCAATTGCACTTGAAATGCGCTTGCTAACATTTTTTAAAAAACGTTCATGCAATATCACACGAATAGACTCTGCGTGTGTAAGAATTGGAACTTGAGAAAAGCATGATTTATCCAATACCAAACGTCTCAGATGAGGCAAAGAAAGGAACAAAGAATAATGTTCTCTCTAAGCTTCTGTTTGATGCTACGTTTCTTCAACAGTCATTTTAAGTAATACCTTTCCCGAAGAGGAGGCAATGCATGAGAGTCATTTCTATTGGTCGCTCGGCCACAAATATAAATATCATACTTATCTGATATATGATTCAACTTCAAACACCCCTTTCCATTCCATTCCTCTTTCTTCCACTTTTAAAACTCATGGCTGAATCGCTTCTTTTCAGCTCTGCAGAATCGCTCCTAGGGAAGCTTGCTTCTGCTGCCTTTCAAGAAGCTTCTCTAGCGTTTGGTGTGCACCGCCATCTTCAACAGATGAAAGAAACTATGGAACTCATAAGAGGTGTGCTCTTGGATGCCGAGAAAAAGAATCCGCAGAGCAGTGCCCTGAGCGAATGGCTGATTCAGATCAAGCACGTGTTTTCTGATGCTGAAGACATAGTCGATGATTTTGAGTGCGAAGCCTTGCGGAAACAAGTTGTCAACACCTATGGAAGCTGCTCAAGAAAGGTACGCCGTTTCTTCTCATCAAGTAATCCTGTTGTTTATCGTCTTAGAATGGCGCATCACATTCAAGACATCAACACCAGGTTGGCCAAACTTGCATATCAAAGAAACGTGTTTGGCCTTCAAGTCATTCATCAAGACACACGTGTCGTGCACGTGAGGGAAATGACTCATTCTCATGTAAACCCTTCCAATGTTATAGGGAGGGAACATGATAAACAAGAAATAATAAAACTTCTGTTGAAAGATGATCATGGCCAAAGTCTCTCAGTTATTCCCATTGTGGGAATGGGAGGCTCGGGAAAGACCACACTTGCTAAGTTGGTCTTCAATGACGCCACTATTAATGCATGTTTTCCGTTGAGGATGTGGGTGTGTGTCTCCAATGACTTTGAACTTAGGAATGTGCTCATTAAAATCCTCAATTCTGCTCCAAACCCAAATAGGGAAAACTTCAATAACTTTGAGACAGAGCAACTTCAAATTCATTTGAGAAATACACTTGAAGGGCAGAAGTCCTTGCTTGTGTTGGATGACGTGTGGAACGAGGATCGTGCAAGATGGGATGAGTTGAGAGAAATAATAGATGTGGGTGTTGAAGGGAGTAAGATCCTAGTGACTACTCGTAGCCATAAAGTAGCTGCCATTATGCACACTAAATCCTCAAATTCGTACCTTCTAGGATGTCTCTCCGAAAAGGATTCTCTTTCTCTATTTGTGAAATATGCTTTTGAAGATGGAGATGAGATGAAACATCCACAACTATTGAAAATTGGGGAAGAAATAGTAAGAAAATGTGGAGGGTTACCATTGGCGGTGAAAACGGTGGGGAGTTCACTGTTGTCAAGGGTTGACGAGAGAGAGTGGGAGAGTGTAAGAGACAATGAGATTTGGAATTTAAAACAAAATGAAAAAGACATTTTGCCTGCTCTCAAACTAAGTTACGATCAACTCCCTTCATACTTAAGACCCTGTTTTGCTTCTTTCTCCCTTTACCCGGAAGACACTTTTCTTTTTACTTCTCAAGTTTGTAGGTTATGGGGAGGACTTGGTTTTCTTCCACCACCAAAGGCAAGTGAATCAATGTTTGATGTTGCCACTCAATTGTTACATGAGCTATGGTCAAGATCTTTTCTTTCAGAATATGAAGACTTTGGAGGTGATTTCCGGTTCAAATTACATGATTTGGTGGTTGATCTTGCCAAATATATTGCAAAGGGTGAGTTTGAAATAATACAAAAGCACAATCCAAACTTATACAAGAATGCCCATCATTTGTTATTAATGAATAATAATTTGCCTGATCAAGCTCTTCTTCCCTCAAGTCTAAGAAGTATCATTTTTCCTAATGGAGCTAATAATGAAGATTTCTTGAATACATTGGTATCAAGGTGCAAATTCTTGAGGGTTTTAATCTTAGATATTTGTGATTACGAAAGTCTGCCTCGCTGCATCGGAAAGTTGAAACATTTAAGATATCTCAGCCTTTCGAACAATGAAAACCTTACGGAACTCCCTGATTCAGTTTGCAAACTTCAAAATTTGCAAGTCTTGAACCTTAACGG